CTCCAGCAGACAACGTGACATCGTTGAGTCTTTCTACAGGTTTTATACAATATATGCTCACAAACAGCAGCTTCTTTGTGCTGCTGGCTGTGATGCTCCTGAGGTGTTCCTCTTGTGTGTGTGTGTGTGGTGTGTGGGGGGGGTGTCTGATACAATAAATTCATAAATACTACTGCAGCGCTCACAGGCTTCCCCACAATGGAGCAGACATAAACAGAGAAGGTGCAGCCATGTGGGGAGGAAGCTGGATTACACATACATAAGCCATAGGAAGTTGATGGTGAGAAAATACATTTCACAGTGCGATCTGACCCAATGACTCATCACTCTCATGCTTGGAACCTCAGCTAAAAAGTAGTTTGCTGGTTACTACCAGTAGTTTCTAACCAAGCTCAACAGCCCTCTTGAATCCTTGATGTATCCTTTCATAAGGGACAGATCTTCCTCCTAATGAGCATGGCAGAAGTTTATCTCCATCCTCAGGGGGACAGCATAACCCCAAGGATAAAGTACATCAGGGATTGATATACCTCTGCACTGGTTCCACAGTGCATTGTGCAGTCTCTGGGAAGAATTCTGCTCTTCAGGTGAGATGTGTGTGATATTATAAACTGGATCTTTTCTATCTTTTTGAAGTTCTGAAACCTCATGAGAAAGCAGAGTAGACATTCATTTTCCTTCCCTCATCCTTGCTGTTTCAAAGCATCTTCCTAATGCTGCGATCTTGGAATTGCCACTGCCCGTGCAGTTCCAAATAACCTGAATTGCCCCTAGCTCTAGTGTAAGGGTGCTCCAAAGTACCCCATTAGCCAGGGCCAAATGCAGCTTTACCTAGGAGGAAACAAATCAGGCAGCTGCAGTTCTCTACTGGCATGGCCTAGTGTGGCTGCATGTCCTGGGTATGTAATGTGCACTGCAGGTAGATCAACCCTGGCAATGGCACCTATATGCATCCCTTATTATCCACCCTCACAAAACATATTGCTACCCAGGGTACCTGCTGCTAGTTAAAGAAATGGGAAAGAGCCGAGACAATCAAACCTTTCAAAAGTAATTTATAAAGAACTGTTACATTTAGTAGTACAAAATGATATACAACTGTCTCTCCTGAACACTTGTCACCTGCAGAGGAGTGGCAAGATTGTACACTCAGATTAAAGACACATAACAGTATACAGAACACTTACTCTGAACTTCAAATTAGCCCAAGGTTTCAGAGACAAACTATCTCCAGCAAAGATGAATTTAAACCATGATGCAGAAATAGATGCTCTGTTTCCACAGAATGTTACTGCCCTGGAATCACCTGTGCTGGATCCACTTTTTCCTCTGAAATCATCCAGTGTATTTTGACTGACACCTAAGATGAGCAGAGACAGACTCAGATCAAAGATCTTTCCCAGTCACAATTTAGGTGAACTCAGTGTACTGTTCAAAACCCACCACATGCCTCTTGTCCTTTTAGACTGTCATTTGCACCTTAATTTTAAGAATGTGCCCATCTCCTTTAATCGGGTGTTTCCTTGGTCCATGTTCCTCTGTTTTCATTGGCCCTTACCAGGCATATATAGGGAAGTGTCTACATGACCATGGCAGTCTAAGTCCCTGCTCTCATTATAGTGAATCTGTTAATATTTTAGTTTTACAGTTTAATTTCTGTTTAGGACAGAAATTCATGTCACACTAATTTAACTCTTCTAAGCAGTTATAGGATCCAGTCTCCATGACTACACAGGATATAAGATACACTCACAGGACATTTAAAGGAACTGAATCACCTGCATCATGACTTCATGAAGTACCGCTTTAAGCTTTTTATTCTTGACAAGTCTAGGCAAAGGCCCTAGAG